AGAGCGGCCTCAGCCTGGAGCGCGTGAGCGTGCTAGAGTTCTTGCTGCAAGTGCATGGCTCCGAGGACCAGGACTTTGGCAACTACTACTGTTCCGTGACTCCATGGGTGAAGTCACCCACCGGTTCCTGGCAGAAAGAGGCAGAGATCCAGTCCAAGCCCATCTTTATAACTGTGAAGATGGATGGTAAGAATGACACGCAAATAACCCTCTTGGTGTTTGGGGAATGTCTTCTCTCCATGCTCTGCTGCCGCTGTCGGGATCCAGGTTCCCACCCTTTGAGGAATGTGCCTGCTTTCTCTCTAGCCTGGCCCGGGCCTGTACCCAGAAAGAGCACACACAGCCCTTGCTGTTCTCCCAGCTTTGGTATCGTGTGTGCTGGAGCTACCACTGGGCAATGATTTTTAAGACTTACTGGAAAGATTTTCGATGCTTTCTCTAAATTCTGTACACACCCACTTTGCTGTGTCCTCGGGTTGGCACGGATACTGCCAGGCAGGGGCAGAGACCAGATCGAGAGAGTGGGTCCAGGTCTCTAGGAGGGGCTGCAGGTGGGTTCCTGCCCCTCTTGTCCTCCTACTGGTTCTGCTTCTTGGTAAAGGGGCTTCCTCCTGGATGGGAGGGGGAGCTCCCAGCCTTGGCCCACACTGACCACCACAGTCAGCCTAAAGCACCATGGTCAGCGGGCCCCCTTCCCACCCCTCTGCTCCCTGGCCTCTCAGAGTGTGGGCAGTTGTTCCTTGGTTAATGAGAAACATGTCTTCTCTGCAAAAAGTGTCAGAGTAAACGTTAACTGAAAACACTCATGGAGAGAATTCAAGTCCAGGTGCCACCAAGGATTAAGTAGGAGCCTTTGAGTGTGTTACCCTGATGATGTGTCAGTTTGGCGGAGACTGGAATTGGAACCCCAGCTCTTCCACAGGTGACTTAGCCTTTCTAATCCTTCGTTTCCTCTCTTGTTAAATGGGATAATAATCTCTCCTGGGGCTGTTGTATTAAATGTCAGGCAAACAACCACAGTGCCAGCCTCCACCCAAGGCGTGCTGGTACTTTGGGGGACGGGGACGTGGGATTTGAGGGTGTGGGATCTAAACAGTGTTTGTGCATGCCTGCACCTTAGTCATTTATACCATATTTGCCTCTTAGAAAGGTCTTGCTTGCAGTCACTCCATATGAAAACCCAGATTTACTAAACAAGTAGGGAGTGATTATTCACTTTGCTAGATAATTTACTATAGTGTTACTTAAAATAGCTCCCCCAGTACACTTCAGTTATCTGATGCATAGCATTGATTTATGTATGGTTTTTTTAAGGATGCATCTGCTGCCGAATGTGTGGTGCCCTTATACTGACTTTTAAAAATCAATCTCCTGCCAAAACCCTAAAAAGCAAGTTGACATTCAAAGACATTGAAGGAGAATCTTTTTTTTTTTTTTTTTTTTGGCTTTCTGCTGCCTTCCCGCACAGAAGTGGGTGGGGAGACATTTGCTCATTTTTTGGACACGTATGGCCGAGCTGCTCTTGTCTCAAGCACCATGCCAGGTGCTGGGTACAGGATGCATGAGGTCAGATCCCTGGTGGAGACGCCGTGGCAATGGAGAGGGGAGGCGGCGGTCTTCTCTGAGGCCCGCCTCGCATCACTGACCCATTCCCTCTGGTCTTTCCCTCCCAGTGTTGAACGCCTTCAAGTACCCGCTGCTGATAGGCGTCGGCCTGTCCACGGTCATCGGGCTCCTGTCCTGCCTCATCGGGTACTGCAGCTCGCACTGGTGCTGTAAGAAGGAGGTCCAGGAGACCAGGCGGGAGCGCCGCCGGCTCATGTCCATGGAGATGGACTAGCCGGTGCCAGGAAAGGCCGGGACGTAGGGACGTTCGAGGAGCAGTTTGGGCGAGAAGAGGACAGTGATCTTTTAACGTGATGTGTGTTCCACTAAAAACCAGTCCTCTCTAATCTCAGGTGGGACTCGGCGCTCTCTCTTTTCTGCATGTCAAGTTCTGAGCGCGGACATGTTTACCAGCACACGGCTCTTCCCACGGCACTTTCTGATAGAACAATCGAGTGTGTGTTTTCCCGACGGCGGCTTTTTAATGGTTAACCTCTGTCTCATTTTTTTCTCCTACTGGTTTATAGATCTCTGGCTTGTGTGTGTTTCTACCTTTTGTTTCGAGGGGTTGTGGTGAGGAAGGGGTGAAGGCGTTCAGAGTTCTTTGTCTCGGGTGAGAACGGAAGGGCCCGCTTGAGAGCCGGCTTCTGAATCGGAGGCACGTGCTGAGAGAGCTGCTAAAGGCGACCCTCCACCCCTGCCGAGGGACAACACAGACCAGTGCCGAAGGCTAATTTGTGGCTTTTACTACCCTCCCCCACCCCCTATTTTCAGGGGGTTTAGACCACATTTGAAATCTAAACCTGCAGTCCGTAACTTCCTCTCGAGCCCAGATGCATTTTGTTCTGGTTTGGTTTTTTGCTTCTCTGCCCGCTTTCCATTTCTTTCGTATCTGCTTTATGTGCGAGTGCTGAAATGGCCCTGGAGTTGAGAATTTGGCTCTCCACCAAGCACCTTATCATGCCACCTTAGCCTTAAGAATGCGTATGAAGAAAAATGCACAGCCACCTCTGTCCAGGGCAGTAAGAAGGCCTGCAAGGAAGAGGAGGTTGGGGACAAGGAGAGGAACAGACAGTCACTTCCGTAGTTCGGAGGCCACCGTGCCTCAGGGGGCCCTGGGGATTGCAGAAGGGGTATCCTGGGAGTTAGATGTCTGGAGCTCGTGCCCGGAGGGTCAGTGGTGCCAGGGGTGTGTCAGGCGGAAGAAGCCACCTCTATTCTCTGTCCCGCCCTTTGTGAGAGGCAAAGGCCTTGTGCGTCTGCAGGGGGAACCACGGACACCCCACATCCTTCGTGGGCTGAGTGGGCTCCTTAATGTGGAGGTGAATTGCTGCTTGCAAGACTGACTTCGCGGAATCAGAAATTACCTGGAAGAACCATGCATTTTCTATGACCTTTTCAGTCCTTCAAGTCTTTTTAAAATCCCCTGCAGGGGGTTAGTGAGAAAGGGTATACTTTGTGGTATGTTTGCTTTCCTGTTAGGAACACAAAGGAAACCCAGCAATTTATATTGCCATGTGAACAGCCTACAGAGTAGATCTGAGAGCAGTCCGTTTTGCCTGATCACTCATACCAGGAGGACAACGGACCCAAAGAGATCTTCCGCCCCCCGAAGTGTCTCCCCCTGCACAGCGCTGGCTTTTCGGAAGCATCTCAGTGGGGTTTCCTGAGGCTCACTGGTGACTCACGCCCCACATTGCAGTCCTCTGTGCTTTTATCCTGGCTCTGAAGGATCTAATACTGCTCTGTCTTCCAAAGGGGAAAAAGATCCGTTTGTTTTGAGCAATAAAGTAATACAAAATGATGGCCATTCATGTGCGGCTCTTTGTCACAATGGGCCAGACAGCCAACTCCTCGGGCTCACCATCTTCCCCTCCACTTCCCTCCCTCTGTCACCCACGATTCGTTCTGCACTTATCACCCAATCACCCCCAGGAGGCAAGTTTCCACCAATTTTTTTCCTTTTGGTTTTGCCCACAGAGGGGACCACTCGTGTGATAGAAACTAGATTTTGCACTAATGGTAGCAGCACAAATGAATTCCAGGCCTAGCATCTGTGGCGGGAAGACGGGCAGCAGGTCCTCCCCACCAGAGCACGGATGACTAGAGGAAGGGAAGGAGGCCTTGATAGCGCTAGATTTGGGTGTTTCCTGCATGTCATTTCCTAACTGGGCCACTCCAGAGGAGGTGGGTCACAGGTGATTGTGCAAACAGGAAATAGAAACAGGTGCTGTGTTAGGAACAGCCAGTGCCCTTTGAGCCCTTGCAGTTATCATGCCTCCTAAAAGAAGATTCAGGATTGTTGTAGTACAGGCCCTTGGTAGGAGGAAAGGGTACTTGGCTTTGGACGTGACCAGGTGGCCCCAGGTGTATGTAAAACCACGGATGGGTCACAACTGACACTTATTGGCAGGAAAGGTGACACGTGCTCATACACTGTACCTTTTCCTTTCAAACTGCTGTTGCAGTTCAAGGCTGAGGCTGTTAAGGCATTGACCGCCCCCCTAGCCCCACCCTCTCTGTCCACTGGGCTGGTACAAAGTGGGGAGAAATCCCAGGGCATTGTACCAAGGGCCTCCTTCCTTCCAGGGGCATAAACTTGGCTGGAATGTGTGTCCCGTTCAAAGTGCAAGATGTACTCTTTTGTTGTACCAGATAGGGCCCCCACTAAGTGCTCTTCTGGAAAAGGTTCCTGCCAGAAGCACTGGTATGAATGGAAGGACGCAGCCACGAGTCACACAGATGAAATTGCACTGCTTAACACAAAGAAACGATAAAAAGTTTGGCTTTTTTTTTTTTTCTAATCATAAAAATATCCCCAGAAGGAGCCTAAGCTGTGTTCTGATAGAAGCCTCAAAATTACTTTCAATTGTTTACTTTATAATGTTTACATACACTTTTCACTTTTTTAAAAAAAAGAAAATCCAAGCTCTGACTTTTTAACAACTTTCCAGGTTTTTCATGAGCTGGTGGAACTCTGACTCACCAACTGGTTTTAAATCTTAATTTAGAAGTTTATTTATTTGTGTTTTCTCCCCTCCTATCCACGTGGCTTTCCCTAAGACCCTCGTAAAGGTGGCCCCTCCTGCCCAGACCCCTGTCTGTTTTCCCTGGTGGCTCTTGCTTCTTGCTTTGCAGACTGCCTGCAGCCATGATTTTGTCACTGACATCTGTGAGCCAAAGACTGAGCCTCTCTAGCAGGAATAATAAGCAATACTACACAACTTGCTACTTTCAGAAACTTTTTCTTAGCTTCACCGATGACAACAGAGGAAGAAGGGAACTAGGATTTGGGTAAGTTCTTCTCTGCTGTTTGACCAAATTCTCAGTGATAAATATTGTGTGCAGATAACTAGGAGAAAAAAGTTGACTTTCTTTCTTTTTTAGTGTGGCACATATGGATCTGCTGAATTTTACGTAGACAAAGAAAAGGTCCTGTGTATTTTTGTCCGTATCCAATGTTATATGAACTAATTGTATTGTTTTATACTGTGACCACAAAATATTATGCAATGCACCATTTGTTTTTTATTTCATTAAACGAAGTTTAATTTAAATTGAAGTTGTGTGAGGCACTTGATCTCCGCCTCTGTTACCCTTTTATCTCCTCCACATGAAGGACTGTGACTGAATTCCGGTTGCAACTCGGGCACCTTCTGATCTCTTGGAATCCTATGAAAGCATTGGAGATATTCACCAAAGATAGAAGAAGAAATGGATTTAACAGGATCAGTATTGAGATTCCCACCAAGTGGAAAGGTGAGGGCTAGGATCCTGTCGCTGATGGATGGTCTCTTGGTCTTTCCGTGAATTCCCATGACCTTATAGGACTTCTGTCAGGAAAGAGAGAAGTTAGAGTTTGTTCCTCTCTGCAGATGAGGAAACACACCCGAGTTCTGTGACCGTATCGTGCCTGGGACAGAACGGCTTTTCTGACTCATGACCCGGTCTGGAGCCAAACTAGTCCAGAAGGTGCTAATCCCCGTATTATATAAAAACAGTGCTTTTTCCCCAGGCCGCTGGCTTCAGGGACCTGCACAGGGGGAAGTGCCGGGAGCCCCACCTCCCTGCTGGCTCCTGGAGCAGCCGCTCAGCCTCGGCTGGGCTTCCCCGTGTGTGTCCCGGCAGGGACCACCTCACTTGTGAGGTCTTCAGGGGCTGGGTCTGTGTCCAGGTTACTAACCTTGGCCCTGATCCAGGCATAATAGAAGGGACTGGCGGTTTATAAATGCACAGTTAACGTTCTGCCAGGAGAATAGCCCGACACTACACACTTCTCCATGAAGATGGAGGACTCTGTTCACATCAAAATGCTGACACAGCCAGAGCTGGTCTTCAGCGGCCCCATACCTATTGCTGAGCCTGTTCCTGCCTCAGTTTATATTAAAAGTAAAACAAAAATTTTCTTGCACACCTCCTGTGGCCTAGGCATTGTGCTAAGCACAGAAAACCTGCCACTTGCGTCCTTTCCTAGAGGCCTTCGCACCTGCTGTTTGCTCGTTCTAGAAACCTCTTTCCACCTGTTCCAACTCCTGCTTCTCCTTCAGGTCCCAGGGAGCCTTTTCTGCCCCTCTAGGCTAGGAGAGGAACCCCTGACAGATGCTCTGGTTGTCTGAAAGTGGCCCGAGGGCAGGGACCCCTCACCACTGTGACAATAGCTCACTAACACTAGGATGCTTAGATGTGCCGTACACCTGGGCAAGTGCCTCAGGTCACCCTGAGGTGACTACAGCGGAAGACTTCTTACCTGCTCTTCATGTAACTAGATCTTCCAAGTAACAGCCACTCCATGTCCTCTTACCCACAGACCAGTGTGTGTAGCACACTGCTCTAAAATACAGGTTTTAGGGCTTCGCTGGTGGCGCAGTGGTCGAGAGTCCGCCTGCCGATGCAGGGGACGCGTGTTCGTGCCCCGGTCCGGGAAGATCCCACATGCCGCGGAGCGGCTGGGCCCGTGAGCCATGGCCGCTGAGACTGCGCGTCCGGAGCCTGTGCTCCGCAACGGGAGAGGCCACAACAGTGAGAGGCCCACGTACCGCAAAAAAAAAAAAAATACAGGTTTTATTGTTATTTAGGTGAGGCAGGGCCAGCAGATCGGGAGATGACTGCCATTGAAAAGACAGTTTGTTACACTCACAGATCCCAAGAGGGAGGGTCATGCCACACAAAAGGGGGCCACACGGGAAAGCACCAGGGTCCCTCAGGCAGCAGAGAGAGCAAGGGTGAAGCATGGGC